CTCTCGACTTTTTTCACTTTGATGTTCCTTCCCTCTGTGAAGCCCAAAGTCATCTAAAGGGCTAATGACAACTATCAAAACGCCTGCCATTTGATAAAAATAAATTTTCCAAGTACATAATGGCTAAGATCTTTACTGACGGAAGATCAGACTACAGATTTGGCCTTTGGCTATTTAAGCACAAAAATCGCAACTCAACGAAATAAATAAATGCAGAAATCAATTGCACTGGTTATCTATGTGGTCAACGTTAGTTTAGTTAACTTAAAGTCAAATGATCCCACTGGATTTCTAGAGTTTACAGATGTGCTCGGCTTGGCACCAATTTCACCTTAAAATCACATTTTGCTGTAGTACATGTACAATTCCAATTCTTATAGCTTTCACTGTGACGTCCAGCAGGCGAAAAATGAGTGTTAAAGTTCAAGTGGAAAAGTTCTGAGAAACCTTGACATAAAACTGCAAAGACAAAGATTAGACCGATGAGTTGGTCTTCACAGAGAAGATGAGATACTGACAGAAGGCCTATTGAAATTCTATTTACTAAAGTAGCTTCAAGAGGAAGCCAGAGGTGTTCGTCGAAGAAGAAGGCAAAGTTTGGGGGATGAATTTTGAAAAAGGCTAGTATCGCTCGTATCATCACTGAGCCTCGGACACAACAGGAAGGAGTGTGTAGAAGAGGCATTATGCTGAACGAATAGGAGTATACGCTCAGCCTACATGCCCCTTAAATGACTTAGAGTAGGAAATGGAGAAAAACCACCTAATTCGGTGTCCAGCCCTAAAAACACCGACAGAAACTCAGAGATACTGGGAAGCCAGAAGTCAATTAATGGGCTACTGATAAATATCATAACACCTACTATTTGATAAAATAATAATAATAATAATAATAATGTTCGCGGCTTTATCAACTCTTTGCTAAGAAAAGATGGTAAGGCAATGACAGGTCCCTCACTATACATTCAAAGACAATCTATAGACTGGTAGGCTACGTTTTCGAGTAGATTTGTGCTCAAGAATTAAGCAAAAAGAGAAAGAACCCGAAAACACGCGCAATCGACCAATCAGCTTTTGCTTGCGAAGAAAAAGACAAAGAAGAGGAGGAACTTCGACTTAAAATATTAGTGGACCTGATGATTCTGGAGGCCAGATGAGGTTGGTTTCTACTGTTTTCTCGACTTTCGCATTTACTGTCTACCTTAAAAAATCCCTTTTAATGTATGAAACCACCCTTCCTACTCCTAGATGTTTGTTAAAAACTAGTGCCAGTTTATCGCTTTGCTGTGGAAAAAAAGTAAGCAGTTTTCACAGCTTTCATTTTATGGAGGCTTACCCGTGATGCGAAAGATGTAAGACATATTTCCACGGACCCACGAAGATGTTCCATTAAATCCAATGAGACTGGCGTCGATGCGAACATTGGGGCCCTGTTTCCACACTCGGCAGATATCACTGGGGCACATTCGAGAGACCAGAGGTACTGCAAAAGAGAAAAGCGCAGACTTAAAAAAAAAACAAATGCTTTAAATAGAACAAGTACTGTAGCCAATAAATGAATTGCCTCTGCGAATCTGGAATCACTGATATGTAAGTGAGCAAAGTGAAACAAAGCCACACCCTCCTCCCCCTCCCTTCCCGCACCAGCAGATCAATTTCGGGCTCATCAAATGCGAAGAATAATTGCATTTAGTAGTTATTTCAAGCCAATTGAGAGTCAAGTTAAGCTTATGAGGCTCCAGGTATGGTGGGAGGAAATGATTTTTTTTCATTAAAAAAGCGTACTGTTTGGGTGGACTGTGAATTAATTAATAAGAGAGGTTTAGGGATGCCAAAAAAAGCATCCAAGTTAGTCTTACCATGCTTTTTCGACTTTTGCACAAAAAAAGGAACACAACCGAAATAAGGTCGATCAGAGGTAGCATCATTTTCATTGACCGATTAGTAGATCCACCGGTTAATAAATTAGTAATAACTAATGTGGCTGGCAAATCCAAGGTAAAAATGAAATTATTATTTTTTCAAATGACAGGGGTTTTGAATAGTTATCATTAGCCATTTAGCTGACTTCGGGCTTCACAGAGAGGACGAGGAACATCAAAGTGAGAAAAATTCGAGAGGGGGAGCAGAAGAGTGATTCACAGATGTAGAAGAGACAGACAAACCAAAGGTNTGCACCCTGGGCAACGTATACTCATACAGCAGTTGACTTCTGACATTAAACCACCTTGAATCCACTGCATGTCCTATTCCTTCACTTTCACAGTACTCACCTCACCTTACTTTTTTCTCTATCTTTATGTCTGCCCCTTTCACATCTGTGAATAAATCTTCTATCCCCCCCCACTCGACATTTTGTGACATTGATGTTTCTCCCCTCTGTGAAGCCCGTAGTCAACTAAAGGACTGATGATAGCTATCATTTATTTATTTATAACAAATAGTATGTGTTTTGATAGTTATCATTAGCCCTTTAGTTGACTTCGGGCATCACAGAGTGGAGGGGGAATAGAAGAGTGATTCACAGATGTAAAAGAGACAGACAGATACAAAGGTTCACAAAGGGTAAGATGAGTACTGTGAAAGTGGTCGAATATGCCATATAGTGGGGATGATGGTAGTTTGAAGTGAGAAGTCAACTGCTGGTTTACAAACTTTTTTGTCGTATGATTATACGTTACCCAGGGTGCACCACGAGGAGGTATGTCTAACCCACACCCCATGATGATAGCTATCATAAAGCCTGTCATTTAAAATAAATAAATAAATTCCAACAGTTGGATAAATAGATTCTAAAGACCCCTTTTTAATTTTTGATATCTTTAATTTATTTTCACATGCTTTTACGATGAACGAACCGAATTACTATGTAGGCTGAAGAGCATATTTTTGACAGATGTGTCTTTTATCAGACAAAAATTGTGGTTGATGCAGTCATAGCAATTATGGAAATTGAGGTGTGAGAAGAAAAATATTGTTCTTTAACTTGCTATTTATGACTGAAAGTGCCGCCGTGCTACTGATTCCGTAGGGAGTGTCTGCGGTCCCAAGAGCAGAGACCTATCAGAGGATCATCTGCCGATAGTCGCAATGGATAGCGTAAAATCGATTTCACGATAGTTAGTCATAAGCTATAATAAGCGTTATTCATGCCTTGCGTTATATCTTCTTGATGTCATTGACACTTCCAGAGCAATTTTAGAAAAGGAATCATGCTTGAGACGATTTTTGGGCTTTATTTGTGGCTTATTGATGTATTATGCGTTACAAGTTTCTCGAGAGCTTCGATTTTTAAAAGATGCCATTTTCACCAACAGTTTTGCATGTCGTGGCTCGAATGTCTAATTTTGAGGATAAAAATATTTCTTCAAATTGTTTTCCTTTATTATCTGTTCTCAACTCACAAATCAAACTAAGTCTTCAAGTTGATGGGAGTGGAATTAATAGGATCAAAGGATTCCTTATTTACGCCGCACAGGATCAGTAATTGTTATTCTTTTGGTCAAATAGTATGAAATCATCGCCAACGATTTTTTTAAACTTTTGATCTATTATGAAATACTGAAGTAATTAGAAGGTTGTATTAATTTAATCCCGTTTATTCCATACCTAATTAAAGTATGCCGACATAATGGCAAATATGTTTTAAAATTAATAAATAAAAATCAAATTGCAATGAATATTTATAAATTCTACGTTTAATTTTTAACCCTTTATCTATATTTATTTATTTCAAATGGCTGGGGTTTTGATAGATATCATTAGCCATTTAGCTGACTTTGGGC